CAGGTTTCCCAGAACTTGAGTTAAGAGTGGTTGTGAACTGTCATGTGGGTACTGGGAACTGAACCTGGATCCCCTGGAAGCGTGACAAGTACTCTTAGTATTTGAACCAGCTCCCCAGCCCTATTTACCAATTAAATTTTAATTATTTGGCCAATGTCTTCTTACCATGTGTCATTTCTGCCTTTATCCTTTAATTCCCAAGCTTCTCTCCTTGCTTCCCTCAGAGAATTTCTGTGCTGAGCTGTGTTTTCTCCTTTCTCTTCCTGATGGCTGTGTGAGTTCACTTAGGAACAACATTGTCAGTTTCATTAACCGTTTAACTTCCTGCCTCCTGTTAGATAACTTTGAAGTTTCCTTCCCATTTACTCTTAGTATTCTTTAGTGTTCAGGCACCAGTGTTCTCTTACCTCTGTCTTCATGATCCCTGCTGAACATAGTTGTCCTCTTGTGGACTGCCCCCCATTTTCCCCATTGCAGTCTGTCCCTCACTCTTTGCCCCTCCTAGATACTCCACCACCAAGATACTCGGTTTGCACTGACTTCATTATGCCTCCAGCACTATTCAAGGTTATTTTCCTCCCCTTTATTTCCAAACTTCTTAAAAGAATAAAAACAGGATGCCAGTGAGTTGCATTTTGTTAATATACTCAAGCCCACCATTTTAATAATCTGGTTTCTGTCCTTCTATCCATGAAAATTACCAAGACTACTTTGCCATCCCTGACACCTCTATAGCAGTCAAGAGTATTAGCCATGGCATTTCTTGCAAACTGTACATTATTATAGTCTCTTGTCCATAACTGATTGTTTTGCCTCTTGTTTTTCTGTGCTGGTGATCTAACCCAGGGCTTCACACAAGCCAAGCATGTGCTCTACTACTGAGCTATGTTTGCATTTTCTTTTATGGCAACATCATCTTCTGCTAGCTTCCAAATATAGCTACTCACCAAGATTCTTCTACCCTTGTCCTCCCTGCTTATCTGCTAATGACTTCACTTCCTGTAGTTTCAAACACCCTCTAATTATGAGTCATGACAAAGTCTGCATTCAAGGCCAGTCCTTTTCCTGAGATTTCCCCATGCTGGGTTCTACCATACTTACTGAACCTCACACTCTAAGAGGAGAAAGTTGAATTCATTATTGTTTTGTGACAAACTAGATTTTTTTCTTCCTACATTCTCTTTTCATCTATTCTTGTCACAATTATTGCAGTTACTCCAACTTGAAAGATTTGAATGACATTTCAGTCTGTGCTCCCCTTCATTTTCCTGTTGGTGAACAGGGCTTGTGGGTTCTCATTTCAGCTGTTGTCATCTCCTAAACCAGTTCTTTTCTTCACTGACATGAGAGACTCTGACATGTAAGTTCAGTGTCTTGTCCAGAGTGAGAGTTCCTTCCCCCTTGCTAGGAAATAAGCCATGAATACTCTACACCAAACACACTAATCCCATTCTCTAGGATATGGATTGATTTAGAGATGGGCATATGGTTCTGCTCTAAGTGATGCAGCATAAAGAGATACTAGTTAGAAAGCTTCTGGAAGGATGTTGCTCCTTTGAGTAGAAAGCTCAGAGGGAAGCCTCAGCTACTGCCTCTTGCCTTGACTACCTCAATCTCAGAGCCACAGCAGCTGCCTTGGACCAGTAAGGTGAGAAAGCAGGAGGATGATAGAGAGGAGACAGAGGCCTGTGTCCTTCCTGATGGTGTTTACACACTGTAGTGTATTTGGAGATGCTCATTTTCAGCCTTTATTGTAAAAAGTTAATTAAATGTCTTCATTTTTTTTGAATCACAGTTAATTACTGAACTGATCCTTGTAAATGAACTTACATTCATATTGATAAATTTCCAAAATCCCTCTCTGATTTTTAAAAGTCTGTTATGGTCCTCTTGCTTCTGCAGAGTACTTGTCTCGGTTTGCAGTTATGTAGTTGTTTGATTCCCTGTTCATATCCTGTACTGGATAATAGTAGCGAGAGTAGGAAAACTTTAACTTTACAAGTTCTTTATTATATAATACAGGGCCTGCCATTAAATGGATGGTCAGGAAATAATTATTGGAAGATTAAATGAAGAAACAAATGAGTGGAAGTGATACCTAGGAAATGAGTTATTTCTGAGATAATAAATGAGACTGAGTGGAGAGTGCTGTTTTTATTACTAATGATGTAATAGTGGATGATTCAGATACCATACCTTGACCCTTTAAAACCTAAGGCCTTGGAAATGAATGTGTTACCCCACTGGCCGAAGGCCCAGAAAATAGAAAGACTAGAGATTGGGATGAGGTCAGACATTGGAGTTGCCAGCATTTAAATAAAAGTTTAAATGTGACCCATAGGATTAATTCCACATTTTGCTTCAAGTTCTTACTTTTCTGCCCTCCTCTAGTGACAAGGGAGGAGCTCTAAGCGTGTTTCTAATAAATTGATTAGTGTAATAACCACCAATGGCCCAGGCAACTGGTTGGCCATGGCTCCTAATCTGCATTCAAAATCTAGTTAGTGTTTTTCAGATGGCAATTAATGACAAATGGAAAATGAGCTCTAAGCCTGACCAGCTGCCTTGAGTACTGAAGAAATCAAGACTTTGTTCTGGGGAAGGATGCACTATTTGCTTAATGAACTTATCCTCTCAGATTTTTTTTGACTCCATCTCTGTAGTGTGTTCCTGCCTCCTCCACATTCTTTGCTGTCTCCAGAATCCTCACTATTTCTTCCTAGTCTAGACCCAGCTCACAAAGGTCTTTTCCTTATCTTCAGCTCTTTATCTTTATGTCCAGCATTTGTTGCTTGGACCCCTAAACCAGTGGTTTATTTAATACATTGGCTTCTTTGTATCTCACCAACTCTTTCATTTATTTCCTCAACAAAAATGAATGCTTTGGAGGAATATGAATGGGTACCCAAGTCCATAGCACTTTACAGAGTGTAACTATGTGACTGCTTCAAGCATAAATGATCTAACACAAAAAACTAAATACACTAATAATCAGAAGAAAATGAAGTCATCTAGAGCAGAAGACTTCTCATTTTCTATACTTCATTTTGTCTTTTTTTTCTAAGTATATATTATTTTTTCATTTAAAATATTAACACAACAAAGCAGAATAGTAGACCTGGGAGATTTCTATATCTAATATATTTTTCCAAGAATCAAAAGTACCTGGAAATGTTAGATTAAATATTTAAATGTTTCTTTACATGCTCATCAGCAGTCAAGAGATGGTAGGACAGTTTCTTTGCATAACTTCAGGGGAAATTAGTAACATCAAACCTTTATGTGGTAGCTCCAAAAGAAAGTGCAGAAATCCTAAATCCAAGTAAAATTGAAATCCTAAGAGGCACAGAACACTAGAGCAGACAGCTGCCTTGGTGACATTACCATTCTCTAGTGGCTAAGAGCTTCCGATTTCAGTTCAAAAGTACAGGGGACAAAATTTAGGACTGAATAATGAAATCTTCGAGTCAAAAGGAGCTGTTCATACAGTCTGCGGTCAGCTCTGGATCACACTTATGTTGAGAACAGCACACTCTTTATAATCTGGAAACGAGCCACCACATTGTCATTATTTCCATTTCTTTTTGTAATTACCCAATTTTCTAGTATTTTGAGCTATGTTTGTTAAATGTATGCACGTGGTTGTAGTAACTTGATGCCTGTAGCTTGTATCATTAGTTAAAAGTATCTTTGCTCCTATGAAGTTATTTTTGTCTTAAAGTTTTTTTGACATTTAATACATCCACTAACTTTGCATTTCCTTGGGTGTATCTTTCTCATCTCTTTTCTTTCAGTGTTTATTACATTTTAGATACATCTTTTATTATATAGCATATAGTTAGACTTTGTGTGTGTAGATATGTATATATGGTATACATACCTTTTTTGTTGCTGTGAAGAGATACTATTACTTATAAAAGAAGGCATTTAATTAGGGGCTGGCTTACAGTTTCAGAGGGTGAGTCCATGACCATCATGGCAGAGAACATGGCGGTAGGCAGGCATGGTGCTGGAGCAGTAGTTAAGAGTTTTCATCCTGATTTGCAAGTTGGAGGCAGAGATGGAGTGACTGGGCCTGGCATGGACTTTTGAAACTTCCAGGTCCACCCCAGTGACACACCTCCTCCAACAAGGCCTCACCTCATAGTCTTTCTGAAAAACAAATGCAGTGGTGGTGGTGGGGGGGACGGATGGGGGACACACACACCAAACATTCAAACGTGGGAGCCTATGGGCCATTCTTACTCAAAAACCACATGTTGTACATGTATTTGTTCATTCTTCTTCCTGTGGAGGCTGGAGTTTGATCCTGGGTGTCCTTTTCAGTGGTTCTCCATTGTATTTTTACTTTTGAGATCAATTTATTTTACTTTGTGTATATGAACATTTTGCCTGTGTATCCATGTACAAGACATGTGTGCCTGGTGCCCCCGGAAGTCAGAAGAGGGCTTTGGATCCCTTGGAACTGGAGTGGCACGGCTGTGAGCCACCTTGTGGGTGCTGGGAATTGAATGCAATGAGTGCTCTTAACTGCTGAGCCATCTCTCCAGCCCTCCAGTTCATTTTTTTGAGATAGGATCTCATATAAGCCAGGCTGTCTTAAATTCACTCTGTAGCTGAGGGTGGCCATGAACTTCTGATCTTCTTGCCTCTACCTCTTGAGTACTGGGGTTACAGAAATGTACTGGCAGGATGAGCATATTGCCAGTTGTGCAATTTTGCCTTCTAAGAGCAATTAGTTTTACAATTTTTAAAAATGTTTCAATTCATATCTAATTGTCAGCAAATTTCATCATTACATGTCTATGTATGATTTGTTTTAGTATGTCTTTTTGGCTCTCTGTGCTATTTTAATCTACAGACTTCAGCTATGGAAGTTTTCTGGTTTATTACCAGTACTATGTGCTTCATTGGCTCTCCCCCATATTCTCTATTTGCAGATGATATTAGACCATCTGTTTCTAACATCTCTCAAGTGTTCTTTCTTTCTCTTTTCTACATGTCAGATGGATAATGTGCTGACATCATAACAAAGTTTGAGGAGACAAGTCTCACACAGTCGTGTGAAAACCCAATCATCACACTTAGAAAACTCAAAACGATCTCTTTTAAGTGTCTTTGTCTTTATGTCTTTCTGGATGATTTCATTCACTTAACAGGTTTTTTTTTTTTCCTTAAGTGTATTTAATGTGTTTATTACATCCATGAAGTTTTTAGTATTAGATGACTATTTTTCACTTCTGGGAGTTTCCTGCTAATTATTGCTTTAACTGAATTGAAAATTTCAGTATGTAGCATTTTGATTATTGTTCAATTGAAATAATTTAAATTTTAATTGTGATTCATAAGTAGTTATATTTCTCAATTTCCAAATATAGTGGAAAGTTTCAGTCAGTGTTTTTGTTATGAATATTGAGGTTGTAGCCAAGTACGTGCCCTTAACCATTAGTCATTTGAAAAAGGTTGAGGTTTTCTGTATGCTTAAGTTTTCTGTTATGGTCTGCATGAAAGGTCTGGGCTGCAGGGTGCCACTCTTTAGAAACAGCTAACACTAATGGGCAGTGCCATTGGTTGAGATGTTCCATGGAGGTGAATTGTGGAGCCTCAGGCAGTCTCTGCCTGCTTCCTGGCTCATGAGCTCAGTGGTTTGCCCCACTTACGTGTGCCTTGTGCTGGTCAGAGACCAAGAGCTATGGTGCTGCCTGACTGAAGGTTGGGACCTCCAGATTATGAATTAAAATATCTCCTTTCTCTTTATAAATTGACTCCCTCAGATCTTTCATTATAGTAATGTGAAGCTGACTGATAGTGTAAATACTCTTCTTTTGTATATGTCCTGAATGTGCATGCTTAAAAATGTACATTCAGTTCTCTGAGAACACAGTGTCTCCGTCTCACTTAGCCCCTGATTTCTTCATTTATTAAGAGTTGGTGCTAGTACAAAGACAATATGCCTTTGTGCCAACTATGGTTCATGTTGTGATGTCTTAACTTTTCTTACCCTGGCTAGCAGAATTGGTACAGCACTCTGTACCAGTGTCACTGACTCTCTGAGCACATGGGCCTGTGTGACTTCAATGCCACTCTCCTTCCCTGGGTGCCTCCCCCTCGGTGTTTGGCCCAGGGGTTCCCATGCTCTGTTACTTTTCTTTTTTGAAACAGGATCTTGTTTATGTAGTTCAGGTTAGCCTCAGTCCTACATTAGTATCCTGTGTGATGGAATTTTGTTGCTTTCTTATGCTATTGAGAAAAATTTTCAAGGGGGCTACATAGCAAGACTTCATTTGGAATGTATCAAAAGCAAAGCCTTTAATGCTTTAAGTTAAAATATAATTACATCATGTGCATCTTCTCTGCTCACTCCAATCTTTCCACGCTACCTGTCCCCATTGAGAATATTAAAGTATATACACCATGTTTGTTTTCAAAAGATAGGTGTCTGAATGTATTGGAAATGGTTGTTGGCTATTGATAGAAGCACACAATTCAAACCCAATAAATAAACAAAAATCAAACACTACTAGCTACCTTACTAGTAAGGTAATAAGATACTAGTCTTATTATTTCTAGTATCTTTTCAGTTTTTTTTTTTAAACTCACCTGGCCATAATGCCCTCAAGCAATGTTAAACTTTCCCCATGAAGGTACCTTCATTTATAACTGTTCTTGACAAGAATGATTTCATGTATTCACAATGCTGACATTTGATTGTGTTTGTGTGTGTGCTTCATTGTTTTGTGTGTGTGTTTATATTTGTTTAGGAGCTATATTAGGAATCTATGGTGAATTTTATTTCATTCCACATCTATTAAAATGGTCATATAATACACTTCTGTGACTTCTTTTTGGTGAGCTTAGTTATATATTATCTAATAGGGAATTGTCCCTATACTTTTTTTTTTGGTATGGATGTTCTTGGTCATTGTATTAGTTATATGTTGCTACTTAACAAATGACTACAAACCTGGTGATTGTTAACACTGTACAGGTATTCTAACACAGTCTCTATGGATCAGGAGTCCACAGATGATTTAACTATATCTCTGAGTTTTGTAGCCAGGTGTGTCACCTGGAGCTTGAGTCTTCTGTGGGATTTGAATGGGCAACATCTTCCTCTGAGTTTGTGATTGTGAGCAGAATTCAGTTCTTTATAGATTGTCAGGCTAAAGGCATGTTTTGTGTTGCTTGAAGTTTCTCTCATGTCCTTGTCCCATGGCCGTCTCAATAAACTGCTTACACCATGAAAGTTTGCTTCTTCGGATAGTAAGTGGGCTGGTGCGAAGGCTCAGTGAATGGAAGTGTTTGCTGTGCGAGCCCAGTGGCCTGAGTTTGATACCCAGGACCCACAACGGAAGGAGAGAACTAACTCCTAAAAGTTGTCCTTTGTTCATTACATGCAAATGCTTACACATACACTAAAAATCTTTAATTAAAAGAAGAACATTTCTCAGCAAAACAGACATTAGTCTTGTGTGTGATGGTGCATGTGTGTGTGCAGTTTACATGTATGCCTGTGGGGACCCTTGAGAGTTACTGATTAGGAGCTATCCACCTTGTTTCTGAGATAGTCTCTCACTAGGATCCCTGGGACTCACTGATTGGGCTAGTAAGTCCCAAGAAGCCTCCTGTCTCCACCTCCCAGCACTAGGATTACAAGTATGTGCCACCATGAGCAGTCATGTGTTTGCTAGGTATCAAATTCAGGTCATCCTGCTTGTGTGACAGTAACTAGATTATTAGTCTTTGAAGGGTAATCACATATATAGTCACATACATCTTGTCACCTTTACTATGGTTAGACACAAATCACACATTCACATTCTAGATAGGGGGTGTATGGTTTCAATCTGTACATTTTGAATTCAGCTGCAAGTAGAAAATGGCATAAATGTTTATTTCTCAATGTAAAAACTCAGGTCAGGGCTAGGTGGCAGCTTTGCTTCAGGTAGACCTGGGGTCTTCAGTTCCTTTCAGTCACACTATGATGCCATGTCTAAGAAGTTACCTTTTCCTTCAGAGATCAGGGAAGCAGAGAGCTGTAGATAAGACTCTCTTGTGACTTTTAGGGAGAGCACCAGAGACTGTCAACACTTCTGCTCGTGTCCCATGGCTCAGTCCTGGCTGCCAAGGAGGCTGAGAATGAAATGCAGGCTTGTATTTGCTCAGCAAAAGTTCTGCTGTGGAGGAATGCAGAGACAGGACCACAGGCAGCACTGAGTCTCTACCACGCGTAGCTTTAAGTAAAGGGCTATTTGTTCTGTGCTCGCAAAAAAAAAAAAAAAAAAAAAAAAAAAAAGTCATAAAGTTACCTGGTTTTTGAAATTTGAAAAGCTAGCTCAAGGCATTAGCAGTGACTCGGCTTCTTCTTCTTTTTTCTTCTATTTAGTGCCAGTATGTTTTTATTTTTGTAGTGCTGGGTATTGAACCCAGGTCTTCTCTGCCAACTGCATGTTCTACCAGTGTGGGGGTTCATCTTCATCATCAGCCCTTACTGGATTTGGAATCACCCTAAAAACAGGTGTCTGTGAGAGTGTTTGGAGAAAGCTTTAACTAAGTAAGGGAAGATCCACACAGACTTTGGTGGTAGCCTCCATTGACTGGGGAGAATGTAAGCTAAGCATCGGTATCCAGTTCTCTGCTTCCTGACTGCACACACAAGGCAGCCATGCCTTCCTGTGGTGTCCTTCCTTCCCATAGGCCATTTCTGCCAGAGATTTTGTCACAGCACCTAGGAAGGTGATCAACACCATCATGGAGGTACAGTCCTGGCATCCTGGTCTTTGTGATTTTTTTTAAAGATGGGCATGGTGGTACACAGATATATAAACCCTGTACTTGGGAAGTTGAGGCAGGAGGATTGCCATGGGTTTGAGGCCAGCCTGGGCTACATAATGGGTTAAGGCAAGTGTGGGCTACATAGCAAAACTCTTGTGTTAAAATAAAAATCAGCAGGACATGGTGACACACACCTTTAGTCCCTGCACTCAGGAGGCAGAAGCAGTGGAGTTCAAGGCCAGCCTGGTCAACAGAGTGAGTTCTTAGGCCAGCCAGAGGAAACCTGGCTGCCAGGGAAACCCTGTTTCAAACAACAAAAACAAAAAACAAAAAACGAAAAAAAAAAAAAAAGAAAGTTGTGCAAGTTTGTTAGTGATTTTTAATTATTATGTATTTATTTATTTTAGCTATTCTTGAAATTTAACCCAGGACTGCACATGCCAGGCAAACACTCTGACTTTGACCATCATGTACCCAAGGTCCCATGGAAAGCTTTGATGCCAATGGAACGGGCAGGGTTTGAAGAGCACAAAGAGGGATGAGCTAACCTAGACAGGTGTGATAGGGAATGAGAGAAAGGAGCTGGGCAGGGGAGGACTTTCCATATAATCAATCACTATAACAACTTGAGGCATACTACCCTGTCTTGTTCTTACAGAGAAGGACATTATCCAATGGCCCACAGATAATTTGTGGAAAAGTTTAGTATAAACTTGGATGACCAAACTCGTGTTCTGTATTGTAAAGATCTCACAGAGAGGAACATTCCTGTGAGTGTTTTGAATGAGGTTCCCTGGGCCCTTACTGGTTATACAACATTTGAATCTGATATTGGGGGATTATGGAGAATTATATGAGGAGAGAAGAGTTGGGGTTTCTTATAGAATCAAGGACCACCAGCCCAGACATGCCACCATCCCTAATGGGCTGGACCCTCCCCACCCATCACTAATTAAGAAAATGCCCTTCAGGTTTGCCTGCAGTTCAAACTTATGGAGGCATTTTCTTAATTGAGGCTCTTCCCTCTCTAGTGACTCTAGCTTGTGTCAAGTTGACATAAAACTATCGAGCATAGAAGGGGACTGTGAGCTTCTCTTAGGCTAAGCCTCAGCAGCAGCTTGATAATTGCATGCACTCCCCATTGGAGACCAACCCTGAAAATAGCTCTGACCAACCTGTTTAGGGGCTGAGGAGACAGCTCAGTTGGTAACATGCACAAACAGAAGGACCAGAGTTCAGATCCTCAGCACCTATATGGCATTGTGTGCCTTTGAACCCAGTACTATAAACCTCGGGAGGCAAGACAGGAGGATCCCCAGGGCTTGCTA